CAGTTTATTGTGCGCGAGGCTCCGTCTTTCGTACGCACCTTTAAATCCCGAATCGATGCCGACGATATTTATTTACGCATTTCTGCGCGCCGGTTCCTCGATCTTCGACAGATCTAACGAAATGTGTGCCGTAAACGGAAATTAAACCTTCCGAGGAGAGGCGCTCGTTGATGCGCTCACGGAACCACGTGCACTCTATAGGAATAATTTAATCTTGGCCTGCGAAAGCTATTTGCAAATTAATATTCAGCTTGCGGGAGTATGCGATGAACAAAATTTTACGCGTAACATTTGCGTGTGTAGCACGATTAACCGGCACATTTCTCCGACCATTCCTCGGCAATCGTGGCGAATCGTGTTCCGCGCAGGCAAAGATGTTGCCGCTGCAACGATGAATTTTCATTGTATACTCGGTGCTCTCGAAATCGTGGTACAATGGGTCGTGATTGTACAATAAACGTGAAAGCAAATTGCATGACGCTCCGTTCTCGAGAGGATCGAGTTTAATAGTTTACCAGTGATAGTTGAATTTTTTATTTGAATATATTAATTTTTATACTCGAGTGTACTTTAGCTAATTCTAGACAGGAGAGAACTTTAGATACGAGAGAATAATTAACAGAAAGTTAAATTTAAGTTAGGTTAGATGTTATCAAAAATATCTCGAAAAATACCTACTTGAATTTAGCTGATTCTAGTCAGGAGAGAATAATTAACAGAAGGTTAGATTTAGGTTAGATTTAGGTTAGATTTAGATTATCAAAAATATCTACTTGAATTTAGCTAATTCTAGACAGGAGAGAACTTTAGATACTTTAGAACTTTAGAGAATAATTAACAGAAGGTTTAAGTTAGATTTAGGTTAGGTTTAGAGGTTATCAAAAATATCTACTTAAATTTAGCTAATTCTAAACAGGAGAGAACTTTAGAGAATAATTAACAGAAGGTTTAGGTTAGGTTTAAGTTAGGTTTAGGTTAGGTTTAGAGGTTATCAAAAATATATACTTGAGTTTAGCTAATTCTAAACAGGAGAGAACTTTAGATACTTTAGAACTTTAGAGAATAATTAACAGAAGGTTTAGGTTAGGTTTAGGTTAGGTTTAGAGGTTATCAAAAATGTATACTTGAATTTAACTAATTCTAGACAGGAGAGAACTTTAGATACTTTAGAACTTTAGAGAATAATTAACAAAAAGTTTAGGTTAAGTTTAGAGGTTATCAAAAATATATACTTGAATTTAGTATACTTGAATTCTAAACAGGAGAGAATTTTAGATACAAGAGAATAATTAACACAAAGTTAAGTTTAAGTCAATTTTAGGTTAGGTTATTAAAAATATTTCAAAAATACCTACTTAAATTTATCTAATTCTGGACAAGATCATAATTCAGATAAGATCATAATAATTAAGAGATGGATAAATTTAAGTTAAGTTTAGAGATTATTGAAAGTACCTTAAAAATACCTACTTGAATCTAACTAATTTTAGACAGGAGAGAAAGGGTTAAGTTTAGAGGTTAGGTTCAGAAGTTATCAAATAAAAAAAAAGGATCAGGTTTAGGTTAGGTTCGATAAGAGAGAATAATTGACAAATTATTTATTTCACGTGCAAAAATAAATGAGAAATATAGAATAAGGTTTTTCTATATGCTTCGTTTGAAAATTTACCTTTTAAAAGGCAACTTCTGACGAAACGTATTCAGTCTATTTTCTGTATATAAAATGAAAGCTGTAAATGACCAAAGTTTTACTTATTTTTGCTCGTCTAGACAGTCTCCTGTTTTTCAAACTCGATTTTTCTCAAGGGCGGAGCGTCATATGGAAACATTTTATTCTCTCTTCCTTTCGACTCTTATTTTTACACGTAGAGTCACACCCTATATTTATAATATTTTATATATTCCACACATTTCCTTATTATACTGTGCATCGTTCGTAGCCCTCGTATTTTCCAAGTCCCCCCCCCCCCCCGATCTTTATTCTACTTTTTCATTCGGCATTCGGAATTCTACTGTATTTTCTTCCCATCGGCGATGGAACGCACGTCGTTGGGAAATCAAACAGAAGGCGAGCGACGAATTATCAGGATTATCTATTTATCCAGCGAGCTGACCGCGAGTTTGCGATGACGCGGTTTCCGACGCCGGTCCCCCGAACATTCGGGGTGGATATCGCCGGAGACGAGAACAGGTAATTTGCCCGAAGGGCGTGAGGCAAGGGCTTTGACGATCGGCAAACGCGTCGAGTTCCGCGTACACCCGCGTATCGGTTTCCAATCAAGTGTATCTGCTTACCGTCGCATTCGATCAAAGGTCACGCAATTAATCCGACATGATGTTGCGAAACCTTGGGAAATCTAGCGAGGATAATCCAAAGTTTGATATACATACATATACATATACCTTTTCGCTTTGATACGCCAAGAGAGAGAAAGAGAGATCAGACTATCAGTGCCCTAATGAATGTCTGGCCGAGCCTTCAGCCGCTTCGAGCCAAGTTGCTCCGACGATGTTTCGACGGCTTCTTGATTCCCGTTCGCGTGCAGGCTGTTGTTGAAGAACGGAGCCAGTAATTCCACTGGCAAGGGGAAGATGATGGTCGAGTTCTTCTCCGCGGATATATTGCTCAGCGTTTGTAGATATCGCAGCTGTCGGGAACAGAACGGTACCCTTAATCGCGAAGTTTCGTTGTTTCTCTTCCCTCTGGTTCTTGAAAGAAGTATTGTACAGAATGGGACGAAAAGTTTGTCCGTGCTTGTCACAGATGAATTCTACACTTTCGATTCGACGGAAATACGTGTAATGAACTTGCCGCGAAATTGATCACGACATTGAATTGAATTTCAAAGTCAAAGTTTCATTATTTTCACTCTACTTGTCTAGAGGTGCTAACAGCGACTTTATGATTCTGAACGCGTGCATGTCTATTTGACGTAATTTTATTCACTAACATTTGATTTATCATAGTTGTAACAATCAATGTGAGTCCAACGTAATCATTATTCAAAATATAAACTAATATACACATAATATACCCACCCAGAACCATAAAGTCGCTGTTAGTCCGCAGTTATTATCAAATAATTAAGAAACTTTCTTGCCATTTTTCAAAAGAACTGTTAGATTGCAATCTATAGTTCCCTTGGAAAGTTTTACCTTCGTGATGAGTAGAGTACAATGGAAAAAGAATTTTGACCTTGAGATTCAAGGTCAAGGTCAATTTACATTTATTACAAAATCGAAGGTGTAAAAGTACATGTATTTCCATCAAATCGAAAGTGTAGAAATTATCTATGACAGTCACGGACAAACTTTTCTTTTTGTTAACTGTTAATATTATTCGTGTCCAGAAATAAAACTATAAAGTCGCTGTTAGGACGCACGCGTGAATGATTAAGAAACTTTTTTCCCATTTTCCAAGAGAACTTGCGATCTATGATTCCTTGGAAAAAGTTTCGTGATGAGTATAATATAATGCGAGAAGAAAAAAAAAATGAATTTCTTTCTTCTACAGCACCGAAACTAGCAATATGTAACTCGAGTATTGGCGTAGGTTTTCGTTTAACCCTAACATTCAACGTTCAATAAAATCGCGACAAAGCGTCGTACAGCGAGTTTTAAGGGTTGTAAAAACGTCGATCTTCGAAACAATGGTGGATCCACTTACGAGAAAAATGTTTCAATGTTTCTAAGCGCGTTTGAATTCATCAGAGACTTCACGGTTTAAGATGAGATCAAGTGGATTCTTTTCGCAAAGATTGCTACGCAAGTTCAAGTCATCGACAGTTTCTTGAATTTTACATCAACACTAGAACACTACCGATTACTTACGATGAAATCATAAAGATTGTATCGAAGGAATTAGAGTGGCAAATTGAACACAAACATTTTATCCTCGTGTGTATTTTATACAAACTATCGAAGACACAACGTTGTAAACCTGAAGTCAGAATTGCACATTGAAAGATCGTAAATGTTGACCAGTTTGCTAGTTCCGGCTGTTCTCGAGAAGAAAGCTGAGTTGCGATACTTGAAGATCGACGTGGGAAATTGAAGGATTAAATCGTGGAGCAGATCGGGGATGGTATTTGTACGAGGAGGACTTTCGAGGACCCTCCTGACGACAGTGGAAAGGTCGTTTCAGTAGCGTCGTTAGGGAATTCAAAATAATTCGTTCCCAAAGGCTTAATTTGTTTTAAGTGGGGTACAGGCTAATTAACGGAAAGGTGCCACACAGAGGAACGCGCGAGAAGCGGCATCACAAAGATATGATGTAGATGTACGTGTTACCTGAAGAGCAGCTGGACTCATGGAAATGACATCACTGGCCTCTTTCAGAGCACGGGAAGCCAGCATCTCCCCTTCCGCTGCAATCACTTTGGCCCGAGCCTCTCTTGTGGCCTCTGCCTCCGTGGCCATGGCTCGTTGCAACTGCACCGGAAGTCGAACGTCCTTTCTAAATCAGGAACATCCGTTACGTTACCATTTTCTTCGATCTACGTCTCTGTGCCTGTCTACACTCGCGTACAGAGGATGGAAAGCCTTTATTTCTTGACTCGTGAATGCAAGATAAGCTTGTTGTTTGTTGTTTCTTTTAATCTCGTGATTCTCAACTGGGGGGATAATTTAATTTTCTAGAAGAGAAGAGCAATTCGAGAATGAGTTCTCAACAGTGAATTTTTTGCATTTCTTTTCAAACGAAATTTTGACTTTCTAAGTTTTCTCCCTTCGTGTTCTTTGGAAGCATGTTTAGACCAACTTTTTGAATAACAAATCTCATGTGTCACAGCGGTGGGGAATATATTATACTCGTCAAAACACAGAATGTGTGCAGCTGCTGTGAAATTAGTATAATTTTATCGTTCAATCTTGATTAATATCATTTACAAAAGTTGAACATTCGTAATTCTCTCGTTAAACAAGCAAATGAGATATTTGGAAATACAAAGAAAATTGGAAATTTAATTTAGCAAGGCACTTCCTTCCACTGTCGAGGACCAATATCTAGATATTATTATTATTATTTTAATTATTCACGAAACAAATAATTTATTAACACTTGCACTGTTATTAATAGTTTTTACTAAAAGATTTCCATTCTTTTGTACGACCAATGGCTTCGTTGTACATTAGCCATCAATTTACGCGCAAGATGGCGCGCACAAGCGATGGTGGTAGCAAGAAAATATTTAAAAATGACGAAGAAAGCTAGTCAAGTATGATATCAAAATATTCTGAAATGTCGAGAAACTTACAAATATGTTCTACTTTCCACGAAAAGGAATTTAATTAAAAGTAACAAATTGTAATTATTATACGTATGACGAGTATATACTCATTTCGCAGCTAAGAGGTTATGTTTCGTAATCTGAGAAAACTCAATTTCATTTCTCTTCATTGCACGATTTACTTGGTTAATTGTTCACGAGATTAGAATTACCATTGGCACGTCTTTTGAAAACCAGACGAAGTGAATTTCGATGCTTCGCGTTTCTTTTTCAAAAGTTGAGAGTTCGGCCTTCGTACGATCGCGACTTCGAAATTGTTGGTAAGATATGGCCTTAAAGGCGAAGTTGTTTTCATCGCCGTTACTCCCTTCAAAAGAAATCTCGCGCGCAGTGGTACGTTCTGTACGAGCAAAAGTGGACACATTTGAGAATAGTTTCGAGTTAACGGGGGAAAGGAGAGGGGCAACTTCCTTGGCGCGGCTCCACAGACGCGGCCGGAATAAAGAACGTTTTCTTTTGTTTCACGTGCAGAGCCTCTGTGTGCCGGCTCTGCTTTCATACGGGACCGTATGCTTCCATCTACATATCGAACGAGGCGTTCCGAACTTCAAGCGGAACCGAGCACCATCAAACGAATCGGTTATCGAATTCTTGTCGATATATCGGGACGACAAGAGACAGAAAATTCGTAGAATGCCCGATGAAATATTGTTTTACAACTACTGCTGGTAAAAAAGTTCTTGAACCATCGGGCACAAGTACTTGAAACGCAAGTATTTAAGAACTTTGGAATCTTTAACTGTATGAAATGTGTTGTTCGGTTTGTTACGAAAATTGCTTGTACATTGCGTACAAATTGTGCCAAAACTGTCGATCATCTGATGCAATCTTCGTAAGAAGTGATCATATAATCGTATAATTTCGAAGTGTGCACATATCTTCGTTCATCGTATAACCTCATTTTGTAAGTACATGTATTTTAACAGTCATGAGGTTCCTTCAAAGTTGTTTTTACATCAGCGAGTGGAAAAGTGTGGATAGTTTTCCTTGAAGATTGTAAAATTTTAAACAAGAGAATATAAAAAAAACTGTTTCTCGTAACTACATTTCTACCATCATTTTAAAAATGATTTCCCCTTGAAACTCGTTGTTCTTCGCGATTCGTTTTCATCATTTTATCAAACGTTGAACGTTAAGTTCAAACAACAAAAATTCAAGAAATCTTAACTTTGTCGTTTAATCTTAATATTCTAAATTCAATATATATACATTCTACATTTAACACACACACATATATATCAAAAATGGTAAAAATGGTAAAAATGGTAAAAATGGTAAAAA